ACCGTCACAAAGGCTGGTGGAGCAGAAAGATACAAATGGCATCTACTTAACGCTTGGAGTAACTGAATACTTTATACATAGATTCTCTCCAGCTGAATGGCTCACGAGAGCACGTGACACTAGATGCGCAGAAGTGTCCGAAACATGTCATATTTAATAATGGTCATTTTAAATTCATGTTACATTGCTTTTCTAACTAAGTAACTAACAAATGAACTGGTTGTATGATACAATAACTTCTTGAGCAGTCTATCGAGAAATATCCTGCATTACCGGAAATCAAAATTTAATTATTGAGTTCAAGGGAATTTTCCATTGAATCAAGTCGACACGTAAAGACTTTTTATCTAAGATTCATTATAAAATTAGTTTTCTCTCTCTCCTTAAGTTTTCTACGTAATTTCATAATAACGTTATGGAAAAAAAAGACTGGTTGAAACACAAATTAAAGGAATCGTAGTTTGAGAAGAAGGAAAGAGGCAAGAACTTGAGAAGATATCTTGTCATTTATAGAAACAAAATATGACGTTTAAATATTAAATATATTTATTTAAAATAATAGTGAAACAACTTGATGTGGATATCTCGTGAGACACTCAAGATACTCTAGGCATATGGAATAGTGCATTCGTTAGTAGACCTAAGTCCATAAATCTTTAAATTAAAAAATGGCTTTTTGTCCATTGGAAATCTTAAAATAAAAGTGTACAATGGATATAGAGTTTGTATAAACACTTTCGTGTGTTTCAAGTCGACGAATGGTACGTTTTTCATAACACGACAATCCAAAATGCATTGTCAGAGTGGGGGTGGGGGGTCATGGAAAAGTGATAGAGCTTTTCTTCGACAGCCTCACAGTGACATCAATTTTATTATTTTTCAGAGCCTATCGGAATTTCACATCCTCCTCTAACTCAGCCACTATACCATTTTCTCCCTCTCTTTTACTCAGGTTTCCCTCTCTCCTTCCCTGGAGGGAAACCGAAAAAAAAACACATGGAGCGAAGTCAGGCAATTTCTTATTTTCGTCTTTGGTGTGAGTGAGACTCGAGGCTGAAGGTAAAGAGTTTTTGGTGTAATTTTCAAACCGCCTGAGGGTTCTGGTTTAGTGCTGTCTCGGTCTGCTTCAGTTCAAGACATCGTGATTTTCTCCCCTCTCATTCCCCCATCCAACCCCCATTCCATACCTTCTTCGTCCTTCTGCCATCTTTCAAAACTTAAGCAAGCTTAAGGAAACGAATTATAGCAGTAAGATAGAAAGAGACAGGACTCTATAAGGAACGGAGGGGGTTGAATGCAGGGTGGAAGCCAACTAGGATTAATTTGTGGAAAACACACAAGTGTTCGGTTAGTCTATCTTTTACCATTCGCCCTCTGAAACCTATCTGCTTCATCACCTCAGAAAAGTTTGCCATCTTTTTTTGCTTCATTATTTTTTTTTTCTAGATTGCAAGCAATCCCTGTGCTGATAAACCGAGTTGAGTGGATGAAGGTAGAGAAGGATTTCATGATTTTCATACAAGTAAATATAAGACACGTGATACGATTTCTTAATCACTCGGCTACTTAGAAAATTCCACGCCTTTTGGGCAACCAGAAGGTTTGTCACTGTGTTCACAGGAGGCCATCACTCGTTCATGTCATGAACTAATCCAGTTCAATACAATCCAGTACACCCCATTCTTTTAAGATTTATTTTAATATTATTATCCCTAAGGTAGTATATTTGCGTCATATTGTGAATTAGGTAAATTTAAAACTCGAATTACAATCATTTACAATGTTATGCAGTTTATTGAAATGTTCTTATCAGATTACTCTTATATATTAGAACGAAGGTACTGTTTTTTATATGGCGTGGTTCATCTGATGTTCAATATTAGTCTGTAAAGCAATGATTTAAATAAAAACATTAATAAATATGGAGTAATATAGAAAACAAAATGATGGAAGTAAATAAATAGTAGAATGTATAAGTAAAATAAAATAAAATTGATTTAATAAAACATATCGGTGATGAGTTATCCCTTTTATGTCAAGGTCTTGAAAGTCCATTATGCATTTCTCATGTATCTTGTGCCTGCTCTTGTTGAACGGATTTTCATGAAATTTTATATCGGGTTAGTTTAATAAATCACGTAGACAATGGGGTTAACACCGCACCTCAGAATGTTATTTGACCGGCGCAAAAGATTTAAACGTTTTAGATCGGAAACACATGATTTGCAACAACTTATAAACTTTACCGTGTAAGATTTCTTTTATGGTACCGGTCTCAAGGGACACGCTGTATAATTCTGTCATTAGACTGTAGATAATGTACTCCACTGATGGAGTCTGTAAGGAAACAATAGGAACAGTTACTCCGAAGATAAGCTAATTGCAAGAAAACAGAACCCAAGCATGGCGTGGAATATCCGTGTTTTCATTTGTGTAGCGGTAAATCCTCACAACGAAACTCGAGAACGAACAAAGGATGGAAATGGAAAATTTCTTTAATGGATTAATGACTGCTCAAAGACCCAGAAAAGTTTCTGCATTCCTTTCTAAAACGATTTTCTTAGTTCTGGAAGCGGTTAAAACTTCTTGAAGACTCAACTTTTTTTTTTTTTTTATAAAAGAAGAGACATTAAGTAATCCTTTTCGTATACGACAGAGAAACTTGTGCTTAGTGTTGAATCTCATTTAAGAAAATAACTGTAAAAGTAAAGTGTGTTGCCTTGGAAACATAATTTATGGGACATTGTTTCGTTTGAAAATGGTATAAAGGGAAAGACGGTTCTTGCAGAAATATTAAAACTTTGTTTCCTACTTCGGAGTGTTTACAGTGGAGTTCACACTCAGAAACCATACAACTCTAACGAAACAGAAATCTCTGAAATTTCATAGACTTACTTTGGGTCTATTGATAAACCAAATTAACTCTGCAGAACATCATACATCCTATATTTGACGTCTTCATGGCAGTGAAGGCATCGATGTTGATCTGCTAAGTTCTTACACTGTGTGAGCTTGTAGGTAGATACCAGTGTTTGAGAGGAATATTAGTCAATTATAAAGACAGCCCTGAAGATGGAAGTAATTTATTTTACCGAAACGTTGTTGTAAACCTATAAGTCCACACGGCGTCGCTATCAATAAGACTACATCAACATCGTTCAGCATAGATTGTGTATGATGTGTTAATTTAGTGATCAAACAGGCTGTAGGAACTGAGAAAAACTTCGAAATTGTGGAGGTTATGAGAGGCGGCATTTCTAAAATAAGTTTCTGAGTGTCACTAATGATGATAGAAGGGTCTCTTGCACGGTTGTTTGCCAATTATACGGTTTTCGTGCTAGAAAAGTGTGCGTTGTTATTACGACTAATGGCGCAGTTGAGTTTGCAGTCATGCGATATCTCAGTCACGAGGGACCAATATGAGTCGTGTTTTTAAAGCTCTCAGTTGTATCAATTTCTTTTTCATATTTGTTTGAGTGAACGCTACAAGTGTTTCGTTAATCTATTTTTTTTTATTTCTCTGTGTAATCGAATTATGGTTCTAATTGGTTTTTGATTCGTTTAATCTTCTTATTTTAATGATTACGCCTTATAGTCTTTTCCAATTCGTAAATACTTTTGAAATTATGATTCCTTTTAGACATTTTGTAGGATACCTTAGACGGGGATCGGCCTGTCAAAGGCAACTTTATACGTAAGACAATTTTATTTTGGTACACTATCACCGAAATCATTTTTACTTCCTCGATACCTTTATGTATTAATTATATTTGTGCAGATTTTGTTAGTTAAAACTGCGAAGTTACTTCCTTAAAACGGGAGATATAAGATCACTAACTTACCTGTTTACTCATTTGTTCGATCTGTCGCTCACGTGACACGAAGTGTTCACTTTTATCGTGCATAGTCTGTACTGTTTTGTAAAATATCATTATGGTGATAATATCTAGGAGGATTAGATGTGTGAAACGTGTAGCACGCATGGGAAGTTGATTTAATGTTCTCATGAATTTTATCCTTGTGTGGATGCGTAGGTATATACAGTGTTTCGGATTAACATGCTACCTCCATCTTCAGGGTTGAAGTTCTAAAGTGACGTAAAAAAAAATTAATCGGCAAATTGATAAATCTCTTGGAAAACCTGCGCATAGATGAGACGATCGAAATAAAATAGTTCTAAAGTAGTAGTGTGGAGGATAGGGTTTTTTTGGTGCAGTATAGGGACCAGTGGCGGTCTTTTGTGAGCAGGTTAATGAAACTTCGAGATTTATATGAAGACGTACAGTGGTCGCTCCAAACCTTGCGTTTCTTTGCTACATTACTGGCTTCCGGTTGCAAGGAAAACGCACATATTTTATGTAAATCAATAACATTACCAGATACAACGCTCTACAAAGTATACCATGGCGAATTAATGTTTTTAGAAATTACAGTATATTTTTTCTTACCTGCTGTCCATCCTATCTCTCTAATTCCCTTGTTTCTTCCCAACTACTGTAATTTCTTAACACTTGAGCGACTGTCAATGATGTATTTAAATGCGTCATAAATAAATACTGTGTTAGGATGTGCCCTGAATTTATCTGGCTCAGGGTAAGAATCGGTGGCGGGCTGTTGTGAACAAGGTAATGAACCTTCGGGCTACGTAAATTACTCGTAATATCTTTACTAGCTGAGCGACTTTGAACCTCTAAAGGCCCTACTTACTCTCTGCAATTTAACCTAAATCACTTAATATCAAGTTACTTATGAATGCCAAATAATTCGTCACAAAATTTCATGCTTCGAGGTGGTAACAAACTCGTATTACGTTGCAACATAAACAGGCGAGTCCAGGCGAGTGAAGACAGCTCGGAAGTAGCAGCGTAGCGAAGCTAGCAACCCAATCTAGCGACTTCAAGCTGCGCTTAAAGGGTAGGGGGGGAGTCTTTCCTTGACAAAATGTTGGTTCAAATAAATACGCAGTTACACATATTGACTACTGATAAGGCAGTTGAGGATATATTTATATGTATATATATTCTTAACATTCTAAGCTCAGTGTATTGTTAAGATACAAAACAGCTGTCATTGTAATGATATGAATTATTTATAGAGTAATTATAGGCCTTCTGAAAAGAAATATAAAACTTAAACTCTTTTGTGTTAATTACACAGATTAACTGAGTCACCAAATCGGTCTGTAATTGGAACGTAATTCTATTGACTTTTTTCGAGTTGGTTTTGAGGCGTGTCTAATTGTGTAACTGAAACACAGAGGGCAGAGTAGCATAAAGAACCATGAAAAAGAGACCGAAATTGAACTTGGTTTCTGATTTAGAAGACGGATTATTCGCACTATTTAAAAGAAATGTGTTAATTAAACAGCTTAGAAGAAACTGTGTTTGTTTTCTTTCCGCGTATCTCAAACCCGAAGCTTCTGAATGGAATTTGACTAAATTTAGTTTTGGAGTATAGTTTAGTTGTATCTACGTTAAAATTTAAAAATTCTTCTCCGTATTTGAAACTCAAAATTTTAACATCTGACTTGACAATTTAATTCGTCGTCGGAAGCGACCCCCATTATTTCGGTAGGAGAAATTAGGTGTCTGATCTTTTCTGTGTAATTAATTCTCATGTCTTCAACACTTGAGTAACACATCATAATGTACAGTATTACTGTTTTTGTATAGTCATTAATACGTATGGTAATATCACATTTCTACATTTCACACGCTGTATTTATTTCAGTCAGTATAAAAGTAAGTTGTTTCTCACATTTTCCAAGTTTCCCTGACACATTCCTACATTACACTAAGATGTAGTTTCGAGATGTAATTACATGTTTCAGTATTTGCTCACAACTTTTACGCACGCAGTAAATTTTTATTTTTGTCCATTTCTTCACGCATTTCTCGCATAATATTCTCATATTTTTAAGCTGTTGTTAAAAACACACATTTAACAATTCCACCATTTTTAAGGAAGAAAAACACCATATATGCACTTCGTAAACTTTCAGATATGAATGGAACGCGGGTTTATACAGTTTTATGCGAATTTTTAGTTTAAAATTCCATGTCATGTGACGAACCACGTAGCAAGATAAACCAGCAACAACGTGGTGACAGCTGAACATGGGGATCGCCCCGCGTGTCCTTTAACTGAAACAAAACAAAAATGATATGGAGGAATTAACAATACAAGAATACAATAATTAATACGTTTAATGAATAATTAAAAGAAAATTATTTTTATATATATTCATAAATGTGCATAGAGAATGTAGCATTGATTATAAATTAATAATTCAGTTAGCGATGAACGAAACGGTGGTGGGCATAGATCGATTTGTGCACTAAGATCGACTGTGGCAGACTGCAAACAGAGAAATGTAAACTAATGTTTCAGACTTTGCATTATTACATGCGGTGTGATCCGCATTGCAGCAATGGATTTGTATCTGTAACAAATACGCATCAGTTCCAATGTGGCAAGTCTATATAAAGTGGTAAAGAACGTATTTTGAAAGACATGTGAACTTCAGTTTGAGTGCGTGTAAGTTTGGAAAGTAAATTCTGTGAGCTGCATTGTATCACCATGCCGCAGATGGATCCATGAAACGATTTTGGAAGCGAGGAAGTGGTTTAATAGCAAGAAGAGCTTACTTAGGGACGGTAAATAAGGGTTGGGGTTGGCAATACCTGTATACAGGGAGGAAGTTTGCGTGGGGACTCCCAAGCCATCAATAACTCACGTTCTGTGCTGTACGAAGCGGGAAATGTAGAGCAGTGCGGTGTGGTCAGACGAGAATTCTGTCTAAAATCACGTAAGAAACGTGGGCGGAACACGGAGTATTGTTCCAGAACAAGAGCACATTGTCAGAAAAATAATACATTTGTAGGAATAATTATTCGAGACGAAGAGCGCGAGTGGATTGATAATCTGTATTCGTAAGATGGGGTAAATGGAACAAGTCATGAACTATCGATAGACCCTAGAAAGCCCACGATTAAATTAGCAGGGAAGTATTACAACATTCTCGTTGCATTTGGTATCGACATGACTCTAATTAGGTTAATTAAAATGTGTTTAACAAAACAAGTAAAAGTCTATATAAGTCTGATAAAGTTCGTGTTTGTAATTAATTTAAACAGGGCGAATCATCCTGTTTTTAGAGTTAGGAAGCACCTCTGAAACATGGGTCAACTTCTACGAGATTACACGGCGTAATATCCCAGGTGGCTGCGTCGTCTTCATATTCGTGAGAACCCGAAATCTAACCAATATAACTATTCGCTGCATAGCGTATTTGTATATCATTATTTATTACAGAAATATGTAGCTCGTACACTAAAACATGTAGTCGCTACAGTAAAGTATATTAAAATAATTAGATACTATAAGGTAATTACTAAAAACATTTCTAAAAACATGGTATATTTTTATGCATGAGCTTTTTAGGAATTGTATATTACCTCATAGATCCCTAAATTCAGGTTATTATACCTGAGAAAGAGTATTGCAGAACCATGTTGCTCTAATACATATATCAGCTGTGCGGAATAAGTGAATTGTTAATGATACGCGTATGATTGTTGTGTGTGATTGTGAGATTGATATTCATATGAATAAATTACAACACCAAGCTTGCTTACGAGCGGAATTAAAAGTAAATGTTGGATGTTTTCGTCATATGGGTGGTATTACTACTTAGAGCAGGCCAACTGCGTCTTTGACATGCTGATTCAAACACAAAAAATACACAACTCCATGTTGCTTGCGGACTAAAGTTGAACCACACTCGCAGTATGTCACCGTCTGACCTTGAGCTAAGGCATGTCCCGGCCGCCCCTACAGTGTTGCCATTTACACAACGAAAATATCCCATTATTGCCCGTAGTTGTTGAAACTCCTTCATAGAAGGCTGGATGGCAGGTTGCATGATCTGTCTTTCATTTGTGGATCGCAGTTCTCTGGATTGAGACACCGTGCATTCTTTTAGATGGTTACCAACTTTTCAGAGGAACGTATTTTCTAGGTAGTTGCAGATGGAGGAGGCACTTTCCACCGATATAACAACAATCTATGAGACTGCACGGTCTCATGTACACATTTACTGCAATTTACCTAAAATCTCATAGGAAAAAACTTTACATTCCATTCAATATACGTTAACGCCTCTACTCGAAGAAATATCTGTCTGCTCTTAACATGGTAGCCAATGTCCATCACCATTGACAATACGAATACACCGTATGTGCAATGCTAAAAATTCTAAACTAAGTTCTGACGGTGGCGACTGTTGCAGCAAGAAAAGTAAACGAGACTCTAGTATAATATTATTTAATTCGTTATTAATTTAGTTTAAACGTTATAGGATACGGATATTTTGAAGTTCCTAAAATTAAATGTAAATGCTAGTATATTTCTGTTTTCCTACATAAATTGTATGGGATATTAGGAATAATGCATCGGAGAGTACCTTGACGTGATCGTAGCCTATTTTTAGGTTTCAAATTACCAAATACTTGTATTGTATAAAGATACTGTTAAATAGCTCAGAATATACTGTGTCCTGATCAATACTCAAACCTGAGACTTTGGGTATACGAAGAAATATTTCAACCCATTCACTTGCGATGTTCGATCTTTCCGTGATTACTGATTAACCCATGCAAGGAGGAGTGGACGTTCGTAGCACAAAATGAGTTAAACTCTGTAGTAACGAAGGTGAAATGATTACATACCTAGCAGGAGAGCCTCTCTGTTGTCCTCGAGAGGAAAGACGCGGTCTCGGTACTCGGAGTGCTGCAGACCGGTAGAGATGGTTGCCACGCAACGGATCTGCATATGACCCGACCGGAAATGGTGTGGCATGACCTCGAACTTCAGACCCACCACAGAGGTAACCAACCCGTGTTGCTGGACAACTGCGTCGTAGTCTGACACCACCTACAAAAAGAAAAAAAATTGCAGTAGTTCGGCTCATATTCTGCACTGGACGCAAAATACCTGCAAGCCTGTGCTACGTCACAGTAAGATGAAAGCGGTAAGGGGGGAGCAAGGCGTCGTATACGCTATGGATTCTCCTTCCACCCAATACCTGGGCTAGTTGGTCGCCGGTTCCTCTAGTTGTAAAGTTAAACCAAGCTCGGAGATATTTTGCGGAAAGTGTACGGACACGATTATGTTTGAATTAAATTATCCAACGATCTGCAGTTTTCTTATCTTTCATTAGAGTCAAATGTTTTTGGATTGGCCTTATGCCTTATGGTGGACGGAAAATAACTCCGAGCTTAGGCTACGCCACAGTAAGAGGGGTTGGAAGATGGAAATGGCCGGGGGCGGGGGGCGACATAAAGGAGTCTGAGCATGCTCGTGTGAGACTTACCGGTCTGCCGTTGATGTACCATCTAAGTCTTGCCGCTGGAAATGATTTTCCAGATGTACAGTTGAGACTGATGACGTCACCGACCTGGTAAAT